AACTATAGATTGACACCATCGTGCTAGTGTTGCCAATATTATGTTCATGGAGTGAGCCAATGTTCCATTCCAAAAATTAATGCCAGCACTTCTCCCCCACTTTTATTCTTCTCCTACACATTTTCTTTTTGCAGCAAAGACAATAAAAGGGGGAAAGTTCAATCAGATACTGTTGGACAAGGCAGTTCTTCAGGGCAATTTGAAAAAATGGTGCGGGAGGGGCATGATGGTGGCAAGTTGCCATCCTCCCTTGGTTATCTGAGAGAGGCAGACAGGATATAGGATGAAGTGGAAATTCTAATGGGAAGCTGCCTGCTGTAAATCTTCAGAGGAAACACTGTGGTGCAAAAATATCTTTGCTTTTTCTCCTCCAAAAGAGTTGATAGGAGTCGGCTCTATTTTCCAAAAGTCTTATGCAAGTTCTGAGATTGTAGGGCTATAGAGGCATGTTAGATGTACATGGAAGAACCTAGAATTTCTTGCAGGTGTTCAGTGGCCAGAAGCACAGTTCTGGATGTTCAGTTTTTTGAAAATACCTTTCCTTAGAGATCTCCTTTTCACTTGAAAGGGCTCCATAGAGATAACAAGGGCCCTGGAGTTTCTGACCATAGCTGACCATACCTCCTCAGATCTGCTCAGGAGCACACCTAGGTTCCTAGAACCTAGGTATCAGATGGACTCCCTTATTTTGATCTACACTTTATAGGGTCATTAAATAATATGAGGCAGGCAGGTTCACACAGGGACAACTGTTGGGAAAAGATCAAGGTCTAAGCAGTCTCTTCTAAAATCCTGCAAAAAGTGTGTGTGCAGGAATCTGTCTAAAAGAATCCACATCAGACAAAACTGCAAAATAACCCCCTAGCTCACGGGTGTCAAACTTGTGGCATTACATTGCTGTCATGTGACATACTGCAACATTTTCTCCCTTCGTGGAGCTGGGTGGGCATGGCCTACGCGTGAAGCACCCGGCCTTTGGGCCGCCAGTTTGAGACTCCTGCCCTAGCTCATGAGTCCACATCGCATCTACCACTCAGGATGTTTGGGACAAGGAAATCATTCAAGCAAATCTTTCTGGAGTTCAGTCCATGTTCAGAATTCAAATTCATCTGCAATAAGGGAACCTAATGTTTTATGCTATTTATGTTCTGTAGAATTGATACGGTAAAGGTAAAGGAATCCCTGTGGATTTTACTCCACTAGTCTTTGATGACTATAGGGGACGGCACTCATCTCCGTTTCAAGGCCACTGAATCAATGCTCTCCGAAGATATTTCTGCTGTCATGTGGCCAGGATGACATCATGGAACACTGTTATCTTCCCTCTGAAATGAAACCTATTTATCTACTTGTGTTGCACGCTTTCAAACTGCTAGGTTAGCAGGAGCTGCGGGGAGGATGGGAGCTCGCCCCATTGCATGGCGCTCGGGTCTCGAACCTGGCCTGTCAACTTTTCAAGCTGACAAGCCCAGTGTCTTAAACTCTGAGCAATCGATGCAGTACATCGGAGGTCTCCAACCCCTGATCCACAGCGTGGTGCCGGGCTGCAGCCTGTAAAGAGCCTCGGTGGCGCAGTGGTTAGAGTGCTGTACTACAGGCCACTTCTGCTAACTATTGGCTGCCTGCAATTTGGCAGTTCAAATCCTACCAGGCTCAAGATTGACTCAGCCTTCCATCCTTCCAAAGTGGGTAAAATGAGGACCCAAATTGTTGGGGGCAATATACTGACTCTGTAAAACTGCTTAGAGACGGCTGGGAAGCACTATAAAGCGGTATGTAAGTGCTATTGCTGCTATTGCTATTAGAACTCGGCTGTGGAAGTGGTAGGTGCACATGCATTGGTGAAAGCATGCACATGAAACCAACCTCTCCCCCCCCAGACACTGCTGCCACCCACCACCTCCACTAGTTTGCTAACCCAGAAAAGTTGGGGACCCCTGCGGGTACAGTATTATTAATCAGTAATTGTTTTTCTCTGTGCCTTTAAGTCAGTCCTCACTTTTATGGATTACATGAACAAGTCCTTGCAGGTTTTTTTGGCAACATTTTTCGAAACAAGTCTTGTAGGGCTAACAGTGAATGGCTGCTAATTTAGGCTTTGTGCCTAAATTAGGACTAGAACTCATGGTCTCCTAGTTTCTAGCCCACTACATTAACCACTGCACTCATCTGGCTCTCTAATAAATACATTTGTAACAAAGAAACAATTTCCTTGAAAAGAAGATTTTCATGAAGTACCTCCATGATCTATAAATAAAATATAAAACAAGTATATTCTACAAAACAAAATATAAGAATATATTGCCAAAGAATTAAATGGAAATTATTCATTGTCCCATTCCTCATATCAAAATTCTGTGCTCATGTAATTCTATATCTGGAACAGCTAAATTCCACAATCAATATAAAATACATTTTAATGAACAACCTGTGTAAGCAAACAGTGAGGGAGGCAAGCAGAAATTGCCTTTGCAAATTAATAGATAATTACGCTAGCTTTCATATTTAAAAAACAAACAATAAATCATTATCTCTTATCAATTATAAGTTAGCAGGGAAATGACAGGTAGTCTTTTGTCCAATTATTTGGTGAGAAACCATCTGCTCCCAGCTTTCAGTGTTGTCTGGTCAATGAGTAAGTCAGAGCAATGATTGATACACCTATTATTTAGAGCTTCCAAATGTATTTAAGCCCTTTCCCCTCACTTTTCCTCCAGATTGTTATTGAGTAATCCCAAAATCCAAAATAAAAGGATTTTAGTGAACCTATCAATAGCACTGTGCCGTTTCTACAAAAATAACAAGATAAAGACTTCCTCTTCCTGTTATAACTAACTAAAATGTCACAGGAAAAAAAACAGATTTCCGTCCCCATTGGCAAACATTTCATGATTCCCCAATGGAATGCCTCCATCATTATTCATAATATTACAGAGATAATTGATCACATTAACTTGACCAAATAACCCACAACTGTTATGACCAATATGTGTGGAGAGTAAACAAAAGTAAATTCACTCTATTACAGATAACAGAAAATCAGAGTTGGAAGGGACCTCGTAGATCATCTAGTCCAACCCCCTGCCCAAGCAGGAGACCCTACACCATTTCTGACAAATGGCAGTCCAATCTCTTCTTCAAAGTCTCAAGTGATGATGCTCCCACAACTTCTGAGGGCAAGCTGTTCCATTAGTTGATTGTTCTCACTGTCAGAAAGTTTCTCCTTATTTCCAGGTTAAATCTCTCCGTCAGTTTCCATCCATTATTCCTTGTCTGGCCTACAGGCGCTTTAGAAAATAGCTTGACCCCTTCCTCCCTGTGGCAGCCCCTCAAATATTAGAACACTGCTATCGTGTCTCCCCTGGTCCTTCTCCTCACTAGACTAGCCATGCCCAGTTCCTGTAACCGTTATTCATATGTTTTAGTCTCCAGTTCCCTAATCATCCTGGTTGCTCTTCTCTGTACTTTTTCTACAGTCTCACCACATTTTTTATAATGTGGTGACCAAAGCTGGATGCAGTAGGTGTGGTCTTACTAAGGCTTTATAGGGTCGTATTAGTATCTCACTTCATCTTGATTGTATCCCTCTGTTAATGCAATTTAGGATTGCATTTGCTTTTTTGACTGCTGTTGCACACTGCTGGCTTATATTTAGCTGGTTGTCCACTAAGATTCCAAGATCCCTCTCACAGTTACTGCTATTGAGCCTGGTTTCACCCAGTCTATATGTGTACTTTTGATTTTTCTCACCTAAGTATAGGAGTTTACTTTTCTCTACATTGAATTTCATTTTGTTAAATATGGCCCAGTGTTCTAGTCTGTCAAGATCCATCTGGATCTTGAGCCTATCTTCTTGGGTGTTAGCTATTCCTGCCAGCTTAGTATCATCTGCAAATTTGGTAAGTTCCCCTATTAATCCAGGCCTTACAACCTAGACCATTAAGAGGAAGGAGATGCAGATTTCTGTATATAGAAAGAACAATAAAATGTAGCTAGCATTTTTAAAATTCAGTAGATAAAAAGCATTTGGGGAGGTTGTTTGCCTCTCTGGAAATCTAATGTGGATTTGTGTATTTTATCTGTATACATATGCCTATGATTAATCTATATATTTCTAAATACATGCAAATATATTTCAAAATATTCTGCTGCCTTCTTCCCAAAGGAAACCAACTCTGTACTCAGAAAAAGCGAAATAGCTTAAACACTCTTGTAAGAGAACAGTGGTCAGGCTGCCCATAACAGATTCAGAGTAGCCCCTGCTACTTTTTGTAGAAAACTTCCAATTGCAGAAAATATATGTAGCTATGGATTAAACTTTTGGGTTCTTCATATGCTCTGAGCCTGATTGTTTTCCTGAAGACATTTCAGTGATGAGCTAACACCAAAAAAAAAACAACGCAATAGAGACCTTCATTTTGCAAGAGTTTGCTTTCTTTCTAGTTCAGGCTGTCAAAGAGAAATCTCATTTCCTGCTACCCATCATACAAAGCATAACCCTGTTGCTTAATTAAAATGAGATGGGGAAAAATGTATTTCTTAGGCAGGAAATAAGGAACAAACCCAATCCAGAATGCATTTTTAAGTTCATAAAGATAAAAACAGCTGAACGGGCAGAATCAGATCATGCCTTAATTAACACAACAACCCTAGTCCAACAGCTCAGTAAACAATGTTTCCCTTTCCCCTCCCACTGCTGTTGCCCCATCACCTTTCCCTGCTGTTTCTGCTGCTTGCCAACAGCCCCCACTCCTCAAACGTCAGAGATAATGCTATGCAGCAATGTTATTCATTAATCTTTTCAGCAATGCAACCAGAGGAGAACTTGGCCATGAACGTGAGAGCAGCAACAGAATGTGCCTCTCAGGCGAGCCCAATGTACATGCAGGTGGCTTTGGGGGAAACGGGTTCCACCATTTACCTCTCCCAATGAAGGTTTCTTCTGAGACTCCAAAGGGTCAGAGGCCCCTCCCCACCTCCACAAGCACCACCTCTCTTACCTCCAGGGATGCAGAGTCAAAGGGCTACAAGGACTGCAGGGGCTGAGAAGGGTCGGGCTCTGGCTACCGGGTGACAAGCTGCAAAGGAAGAGAGGCAACCAAAGGAAGGGTGGGTGAATAATGTGAAGAGGTCTCCTAGCAGTGACCCTCCTCTGACAGGGGCAGGGCCCTTTTGGTGTCTCCCCCACCCCCAGTTCCTTCTCAAGCTCTAAGCAACAAGGCCAGCCCCGAGCAGGTTGAGCAGTGGACAAGGTGGTGTCATCTCCCATTTCTATAATCCACTTATAGCATCTGCTTCATCCTTCCTTCAAGTTCTAATGATCTTCCTACCACTCTTGAAGACAATATTTCGCATTAAGGAGCACAAGGAAGGGGACCTGGCAGATCAGCTTTCCTTTTTCCTGGACTAGCTGACATTATTCAGAAGCTATACTAGTCTGGGTAAGACTAGCCAGAAAAGGATCTGTAGCTGACCATATTCATCTCCAGTTCTTGGAGATTACCTGGATAAGTTTCCCTGTAGTTTTCTTGGCACGTTTTTTTTCAGAAGTTTGCTATTGTCTCTTTCCTAGGGTTGAGAGAAAATGACTGGCCCAGGGTGTCATTCAGCTGGGTTTGTGCCTAAGGTGGGATTAGAACTAATGGTCTCCCAAAGGTGCTTTTTTTTTTTTAAGCTTGGCAAAGGGTAACCCAATTTCCCTACTAGTTGGGAATGCACTAGCATCTTTCAAGGCAGATCCTTAAGAAAGAATATAATGCTGAACACAGACAGACAATTTGGTGTAGTGGTTAAGGCATCGGGCCAGAAACTGGGAGACTATGGCTGTCTATGGAGATTCTCAGTCATCCAGGTCATGTCCCAAAGGTGCTTTTTTCAAAAGGCAACTGGACTTTCTGATTTTTCTTTGAAGACGTTTCGCTTCTCATACAAGATACTCAGAGCTGAAGAATCTTCTTGGATGAGAAGAAAAACCAGAAAGTCAAGTTGCTTCTTGAAAAAAGCACCTTTGGGACCACCATGACCTGGATGACTAAGAATCATGACTAGACAGTCATGGTGACCCAGTTTCTGGCCCAATGCTTTAACCACTACACCAAACTGGCTCTTTAAATTCAGCCATCTATTCTTTCTTAAGGATCTGCCTTGAAAGATGCTAGGGCATTCCCAACTAGTAGGGAAATTGGGTTACCCTTTGCCAAGCTTTACAATTTGAACCCTGTTCTCAATTTTATTTATTCAGCCTGAAATGATGCTGTGTTGAATTCCTTCACCCCTCTTATTAAATCCCATCACAAAAAGATTTGAGGCTAAACATACCCAGCTCTCTTAATTCTTTGAAAGTTGAATCCATAGGGTGGGTTTAGCCTCAAGAAGGGGAGACATGAAATATATGAATATATGGCTGTCAAGGGAAGGTGTCCACAGCTCCTGAAGGCAGGATAAGAATCTTTGCCAGAAGCTTTACACTAGATCCAAACAGTGGATCCCCACTTGAAATAAGGAGGAATGACAGTTATTGGGCGGTGAATCATCCTGCCTTCTGGAGTTGTGGGGGCTCTGTTACTGGAGGTTTTCGAGTGATTTCTCAGGGATGATGTCAGAATTTCTGCCCTGGGCAGGTTTAGACTAAAATCTAGATGATCTCAGAGGTCCCTTTCAGCTGGGCGATCCTAAGACCAGAGCTGTGTGATTCTGAAACTATGGAAATCCAAAGATTACCACAACAGCAAGAAGCCACTGGCTCTTTGTGATCAAGTAAAATTTGTGAGGAAAGGATCACAACAGAAGGTGTCGCAGCCCAGGTATTGATGAGGCTGCTAAAAAAAAATAATCCTGATTCCTGATACATAGCTACTCTTGCTGTTTAAATTAGGAATGCCTACCAAGCCCTAACCTTGCAAGATTTTAACATTTCCTCTTTCAGCTCCTCAACTGGGCAGGTGGACACTTCAAAAGGTAGACCAGCAAGCGGAAGTCCAACAGGTAGAGTCTTTCCTACCTCCCCCAGGATGGAGATAGGAGGGAGAGGAATCTGGCAGGTCTGCACCTGCTTCATTTCTAACTCTCAAGCAGCTGCTGTTAAAACTATGTGTTATTGGGGTGAGGGTGGGGGGGAGGAGAGGAGGCAAAGAATGGGTGAATAGGGATGCTGGGGAGAAGTGAGGCTGAGGGCACCTCAGTTTTCCGAGGGGATGGAAACGATGGAGAAGGAAGGTGAGCCTCTTCTTCGCTTCTTTTTAGGAACAACCCGCCCCCTGCCTTCCAACCTGGTTCCCTGGCAACCGAAACATGCGTCATTGGAGACCCCTGGACCGAAGGAGGGAGCGCGCGGGGAAGAAAGGAATCCCTAGAGGAAGGGGGGAAGCGCCCACCCTCATTCGCCCTCCACCCACCCACGCGCAGCTTTGTCTCCCTTCGCCTGTCCCGGGTGCTTCGATCCCTCCGGTTCCCCCCCCCCAAAATACCCCACCCCGCTGCCTTCGTCTCAGATTCCCCCCCTCCCCCCCCCCCCCGCCCCCCCTCCCCCCCCCCCCACTCCACAGCCCCTCCTCACTTACTCCACCAAGGTCAGCGAGGGAATCTTCAGCTTGGCCCGGCGCGCCTGCATGGTTGTTGCCGCCGCCGCCCCGACGGTGTATGTGCGCCCCTCTCGCCTCTCTGCCCGCCAACCCGGTTGGGCAGCGAGTGAGAGGGAACCAGCCGCAGGAAAGGAGGCGAGGCTGCTCGCCGGCTTCCCCCGCTGCCCGCCCACCTGCCACTCCTCCCCCGCGGCCCTCGGAGGGGAAGAGGGGGGACGGCGGAAGAGCCCTGCGCGCGCGCAACCCGCTCTCCCCCACCCACCCACCCACCAGCCCCCCGACTTTAAAAGGGGGTGAAACAGACTCTGTGGCAGGAGGTTGGGGTGGGGGAAAGGAAGGTTAGCAGCATGTTACACTTCTTTCCCGGGGGTATGTTTTGTTTTGTTTTGATACCAAATTTCCACAGCTGGTGGTCATTTCTAGCTGACCAGAAATGCTGACCCTTTTTGGAGGAATGCTAAGAAAGGAGTTGAGGCACCGGCTCTTTTTATGCTTTTTCCAGGGTTTGGTACCATACAGCTAGTCCTCCGCTTACGACCGCAACTGAAACACCCCCCCCCCATTTCCGCTGTTCAGTGAGTTCTGCCCCGTTTTACGACCTTTCTTGCCACCGTTGTTAAGGGAATCGCTGCAGTGGTTAAGTTAGCAACGTGGCTGTTTTAAGTGAATCTGGTTTCGACTTTGCTTGTCAGAAGGTCGCAAAAGGGGGATCATGTGACCCTGAGACGCTCCAACCGGCAGAAATATGAGTCGGTTGCTGAGTATCTGAATTTGGATCAGGTGACAGTGGGGATGCCGCAACAGTCGTAAGTGTGAAAAACGGTCATAAGTCACTTTATTCAGTGTTGTTGTAACTTTGAACAGTCACTAAATGAACTGTTGTAAGTCGAGGACTACCTGCAGCAGGGAAGAGACTGAGTGCTAATCTCAACTGCCTTGAACCTTTTTTAGGTAGAAAATCACAGCAGAGCTCAAATAAATGATGATGATAACCAGCAGTGGAGCTTAATGCCATTTAATCAAATCAGGCCAATCTTTATTATGATCATAGACCAGGCATGTCATGCCATTTCAAAATGCCAATAAATATAATTTTTAAAAAGCACTTCCTGCATATGTACAAAAACCTGTTCTGTTTCAAACAGGCACTTTCTGATCTTTAGGGTGGTTTCCAAAAGGTCATAGGTCGATTGGTTTATTGAAGTCATTACAAAAAGAAATCTTCTATATATATAAAAGCGAAATACCACTCACGCATCATCACAAAATCTCCAGAACCGTAAAGTCTACAAACTTGAAATTTGGCACGTATGTTCCTCTTGGCTTCTAGGTGCTCACTAAGAAAGGATTTTTCAAAATGACCATCAGACCATTAGTATTTCGTATATTATTATTAACATGCTCTGATGCTAAAGACTTCTATTTCCCCTCCCCACCTGAAAAGAAATCTGTTCCAAATGCAAAACACAAGCAGAGGAGTTTCAGTTTTAGTTTCATAGCAGCAACCAGCTTTAGTACAGAATAGTTGAGTTAAGCCACACCCACGCTCTTTGCTGTCTCCTTCTTGCTCACACAGCAAATACTGCTTCAGTTTCCAAACAGCCCTCAACTCTTTCACACACTGACAGGATGCTAGCCAGATGAATACCGATGGATGCTGGTAGGCAGAGGCAGAATTCCCCCCCCCTTATTTTCTTCCCCAAAAACTAAGCCCGACCACATAGTTTTGTAGCGAGGCATGGGTATCGAGCTGGTAAAGAGATATGGACAGAGATACTTCATATGCCATGACTTTTATGGATGCATAGGTTGTTCTCAACTTAACAACCACAATTGGGAGCAGAATTTCTGTTGCTAAGCAAGGCTGTTAAGTGAATTGTACTTAATTTTACAATGTTTTGTGCCAGTGTTAATCAATCACTGCAGTTAAGGGAATTATGCGGTCATTAAATGAATCCAACTTTGTCCATTGACTTTGTTTGCTTGGAACCTGACTGGGAAGATCACAAATGGTGATCACATGACCTCAGGACACTGCAACCATCATAAATTCATGCTGGTTGCCAAGCATTGAAATTTTGATCATGCAACCGCGTGGATGCTGCGACGATTGTAAGTGCAAGGACCAGCCATAAGTCCCTTTTTTCAGTGCCGTTGCACTTTGAACGGTCGTTAAATGGCTGCAAGTCAAGGACTTACCTGTACCTAGAAGCTCAAAACTGATGTTGAAGAAAGCACTCTGTGCCTTGACAGAGGAGCTCTTTCCTGGGATATGCATTATAAAGCAAATTGCCCAGGAAAACATATTCAGTACTTTCCACACCTAAGACTGAGACGTTTGATTGTTCTGTATTTTTTGAGATCATACTGTCATCCACATCTCCCACCCACAGATGTATGTCAAAAGCCAGTTTACAAAGAAAACAGCAGCTCTGCATAATAAAATGGAGAAGGGGAGCCAAGATTGTGATTTAATAAGAATGCAATGCTCAGCACGATTGGCATCCAGTCCAATAACCTTCAGAGTAGGAAATACATTTGAACATCAGATGACAATTCCTCGTACATTATTTACAAAATCCAAAACATTCTAACAAAAGACAAAGGGACAATAGAGTATTCAATGCTCTGGGAAACCAACCCATTGTTGCTGTCATTTTTCTAGGGACGTGACCAATTCCACCACCACCCTTCCCTTGCTTACATTTATAGGAATACTAAAAGTAAATTGGATACCTACAAACACAATTACTCCACAATCAATTAATTTGTAGCCAGAAAATGTGGTGCAAACCAGTCATTAAACAAAAGAACAACTTTCCATTCCGACACTGCTTATCTCCAGTAGCTGCTTAAGGATGTACAGTCCATAACTACAGTGCAGGTGGCTAGATTCTACGCAGAAGCATTGGGATTTGTCAGAAACACATGTGTCTAATCCACCATAGTTATGATATATAACAAATGTGGCAATATTCCTTTCCCTTTTAGTATTAAACTGACAACAGGCCACACAGTTTATGGATTATAATTTTAGTATAGTTAGAATGGAATGGAATGGAATGGAATGGAATAGAATAGAATTCTTTATTGGCCAAGTGTGATTGGACACAGGAGGAATTTGTCTTCAGTGCAAATGCTCTCAGTGTACATAAAAGAAACGATACATTCATCAAGAGTTCAAGAATCATAAGGTACAACACTTAATAATAGTTATAGGGTACGATAAGCAATCAAATCATACTAGGAAGCTGTCAATATAAATCATAAGGATACAAGCGACAAAGTTATAGACATACAGTCACAAGTCGGAGGGGATGGGTGATAAGGAGTGATAAGAAGATTAATAGTAATAGTAATACAGACTTAGTAAATAGTTGGACAGTGCTGAGGGAATTATTTGTTTAGCAGAGTGATGACGTTCTGGGAAAAAACTGTCCTTGTGTCTAGTTGTTCTGGTGTGCAGTGCTCTATGGAATCATTTTGAGGGAAGGAGTTGAAACAGTTTATATCCAGGATGTGAGGGGTCTGTTAATATTTTCACAGACCCCTTTTTGACTCGTGCAGTATACATGTATACAGTAGACCATGTATAATTGACAGACTGGATATTATCATATGTAGATTTTAGTTGTTATTTATTATTTTGTACTAGAATTTTTAATTGTATATTTACCCTGTATTTTTATTCTGGTTTCTGGTCTATGACTGTAATAAACTGAATTGATTGAACTTTTATCAGTGATGAAGACAACACGATAGCAAAATGTTCTTGGACGTCCTCCGTATCTAGCACCAGAGCGTGAGGCTGGTTTCCCTTCTTGGCTTCTTTATGGGCTACCCAAGAGTATTTGACCAGCCAGTGCCAGAAATGGAACACTAATTTTTTGTGGCCCAAGAAAGCAGAACTTCTCTATTCTTATAATGCGTGGGTGAGATGGGCAGCAAACAAATTTAATAATAAATAAATAAAATAATTAAGATGCAGCTGGTAGAAAAAGAAATGCAGGTAGTTTTTGGTTAACTATGGTAATTGGATTCAAATTTTCCATTACTAAATCATGCTGCTTAGCAATAGCACTTCCAATGCTTCCTGTGGCCATCAATAAGATAATCCTGCACCATCATTCAACGCAACATCATGAAGTCACACTTGGGGACCTCTTGCAGCTTCTCCATTGATACTCTGCTTGTCAGAAGCCACCAATGAAAGTTGCAAATATTGATCACATGACCCTGGGATGCTGCAATGTCATAATTGTGAGCCAGATAATTGTGATCATGTGACCTTGGTGACGCTGTGATGGCTGGAAATTTGGGAGCTGGTCATAACTATCACTTGTTCAGTGCTGTCATAACTTTTGAGCAATCACTGAATAAGTGGTTTGCCAAGCAAGGACCACTTATAAGTAGCAAAATAATGAGGGGAGGGAGTCAACAAAATTAAGAGGGCAGCCACAGCTTTGCAATCAAACCCCACCTCCTTTTTACATGGTTTTGCTCTTGTGGGTGTCAGCAAAGCTCTCTGGATCTTTGTTGATCCCTCTTCAAACAGGTGACCCCAATGCGGTTTACACAGACTCAGCTACCAACATGGAAAATGAGTGAAACTCCAAAGGGGAGGATGAAAATGAAGCCTATGAAGAAAAAAAAATGGGCTGGTTGCCCTTTACTTACATCTTCCCTCGGCGTGGCAGGCTCAGCTCCTTCTGGATGAAGAAATAAAAATAAAAGAGTGTCTACATCGCTTCTGTATCATCCGTATCTTGTTTCTTTGTCTTTGCTCAGATTCCCCAAATCTTAGCCTGAAATGGTACAGAGTATAGGTATGGTATAGGGCTTCCTACTTGAGCAGGGGCTGGACTAGAAGACCTCCAAGGTCCCCTTTCCAACTCTGTTAGCCTTTGCTCTTTTAGCTTCCTGCTGACTTGAATGGATGAATGGGGAAAGTGGTGTTCTCTTCACTCAACAAATGAGGGTTATTCAAGATGCACCTCCATCTTCCTTTCCTGGGATTCTTGCACCAGATTTTGCAGCAAGGACATGCTCTTTGTACTTGTTAGGAAAGAGAGAGAAAAAAATACTCTCCT